TCCCAAGTGCCAGCCCCGACCCAAACACAATGCTGTAGGCCTAGGGACCTCCCTGGAACCAGATCACACCCCATCCCAGCACTACCATCTACTTGCAGCCACTCGGTAGGCAAATACATGTAATCCTGCCTCTCAGTTCATAGACAACTCACAACAGGATAAAGGCCCAAAAAGGTCCATGGCCATGCTCAGCCCCAATCTGGCAGCCAAGACTCCAATGCAAATGTAATTGGTGACTTCAGGGTCTCTAGCATGGTAGCCTTTGCCCCTCAATTGGTTTGACTTCCACCCCAGCCACAGTGGTAACCTGTTCCCCTCTGTCCTCCCCACCTGTGTGGCTCTCTATCCAGGGTTCCACTCTGGCCTGACAGAGGTGTCCCCAGCTGTGCTCCCTGATCCACCTAGTGTCCCAGCTCAGGTAATTTCCTGAAGGTCCTAATGTCCAGTCTCCCTCAGGCACAACTTTGCATGTCGGCTGTGCCAACACTGGGTAATGGGCAGGAGCTGAGCCTAGTGGGACTGGACGAGGCGCAGGCAGAGTCAGATGGGGCTCCGACCCCCACCCCTCCCTAGCGTGGGAGCTGAGTCCCCACCGCTCCTGCAGACAAAGACTCGCCTAGCCTGGGGGAGGGGTGGGAAGAGACTCCAAGGACCAAGATGCCCCACCCCCCATTCAAGTGCTAATGAGCTCCAGACTGGAGTAGAGGGCAGGGGGAGAAAATCTCAGTGCTGGAGGTGGGCTTGGGTACCACCCTCCTGGCGCCCAGGCTCTGCCACACCCCAACCCTAGGCCCCCTTGGAGGATGAGTCTGAGATACCAGGACGGTCTGTCACTCTACCTGGTACCACTTTCACATCTTGGTCTCCCCACTCTTGCTCAACTCTGCAAGACCCAGCAGCCAGCCTCTCATTCACTTTCCCCTCTCCAGGGTTAGGGACTGACCCTACAACACCCCTGGTTGCAGACAGGCACTTAGATCCCCAAGCTGTGGATGCCAGAGGTTTATCTGAAGCAGTTTTCCCAGCTGGCATCCCGGGTGAAGCCAGTATTCAAACTCAGGCCAGCAAGGTGGGCCTTCTCCCCAAGCCAGAAACATCCACCAAGATCTTGGGAATCCCCTTTATGAGTCAGTACCTGGGTCCTCAGTGGTGCCAATTTTCAAGGCCACCAGAGAACCCCTCCGGAAGTAACCTTCCCAAATAAATACCCTAGAATCTCCCTACCCTTCAACCAGCCAGGATCCCAAGCTAGCCCTCCTATTCATCTGCAGCTAGACCAGGCTCAAGTGGCAGCCCAGGATTATATTATCCCTCTCCCCGGGGATCATGCTGCGTTCATGGATGTGTTCAACAGCTTCATTGTTTCCATGCACACTTAATATGCACCTTACAGTAAGCCAACCCTTTGGTAGAGACACACAGACAGGACAATGTCACACAATTCCCTTCCTTTTCATTTGGTAAACTGACTTGAGCCCTTGCTTTGCACATCAATGTGCTGGCAGGCCCAGAGTGCCAGTGGCATGGCTCAGGTCTCAGCCCCATGGCTCTCAAGCTGTTCTGGAGCTACTGGACTGTTCAGACAGCAGCCTCAAGGCAGTTCAAAAACAGGTTTGTGGGGAAGAATACAAGGCCACCTTCCCTCACCAAGAGCTGAGTCCCTCCTGTGTGCTGTGCCCTGGTACAGTTGCAGGCTGGGCAGCAAGAGTTCTGCAGGGAATGGGTAGAGGCTATCTCTTTCACCAACCCACAGCCTATGACAGGGCACAGGAAGAAACCTGAAGAACCTTTTTCTCAAGTGCCTGCTTTCCCCATCGTGGTCACTGACCTACAAGAAGACCTGGCCACCTGCCAACAGTATGCCAACTGTGACCTCTGCCTACCCATCCCCCAAACCAAGTTTGTCAAATGCATCCCTCATTCATTACACAAATGAGAAGCACCCCAAAAGGGGCCATGCTGCATACTGGGTACAGGAATGAAAAGGACACAGCCTTGCCCCTGAGGGGAGAGCAGCCAGCCAATATCATGCTCTGATGAGGGAAGCAGTGGTACTCAGAGCCAGAGATGGACTCTGGAGGTCAAGGAAGGATTCTGGGGGAAGCTTTCCTGAGCCCAGCATTACAGAATAATCAATCAGGTATGGGACAGTAAAGGCAAAGTGCCAAGGAAAGACAGAACTGCTGCATCTACACTCTGAAGCCTTCCTGGTGCCAACAGTGGCACTGTCCTTCTCTTCATTGTGAAGCTGGCCACCAAAACCCCAAATTCCACCTAGAACTGGCTCATCAGTCAAGGTGAACTGGGTAGGCAGGTGGAGGGGAAGCCTGGAGTGGAACTGGTATCAGCTCCTCTGCTCTCCTCACCAAGGTGCCAGGAAAAACTCTCTTGCCAGTGTATATCACATCTGCCTCTGCCCTGGTGACAGTGACTGCCTGCTAACAGGCAGGGCTACAAGGAAGGGGAGGGAGTCAGTGTGGAGGCAGGGCAGCAGGCGTGGTTCTGGCTGAGAGAAGGTTGGCACTTGCCCAGCCTCGGTCCCGTTGCCTGGACAGAGTTTCCCGCTACATGGGACAGGCGCCCAGAACTCAACCTGCCACAGCTGGACTCTGATCACCACCTTATTCCTGAATGGGGGAAAGGATGGCTCAAGCCAGGACTCCTCCACAGGCAGCCATGGTAGACTGGCACCTGAGGACTGAGTCCTCAATTTCAGGCAGAGTTTGGTCTCTCAGCCCCTGCAGCACATCCTCTACAAGGTCTTAGCTCCACCCTACATCCCCAGCAAGAAGCTCCTTGAGGCTCCTGATCTGCCCCATCCTTAAACTCCAACAATCCTCTAGACCAAACCAGGAAGCCTATTTCACAAAGGAAGCAAAAGCCAGAGGGGCAGGACATGAGGTTGGCTACAAGTGCCAAGCCACACCCTGCACCCGTAGCTTCTACCTCCCAGGGAACCCCTGGGAGGGGCTCCGAGGTCCCCCCTGGACTAGCCCAAAACCTGAGCTGGGTTCCAAGGAGCAGGCCTGTCCAGATGTGGAAACTTCTGGTGTCAGGGCACAGGAAGTCCAGGAGCCATGTCCCTGGGTCTGTCCTACATCTCTTCAGCCTTCACAATAACTATGTCAGCCTGGGGAGGGGCTGGCAAAAGGCTCTGTCCTGGGCACTGGGAGACAGCGGTCCCGGAAGTGCCCTCCCCAGGCTCAGCAGCAACGGGCATTCTGTTGCGTCCACACCCACTCACTGCCTGCCGCACTCACAGCAGAGACAGGAAGAGGCAAGCGCCCAACGCAAAGCAGCCCAGGAGGTTGGGCCGCCGCCCCTTCCCGCCCCTTCTCTTCCTCCCCGCGGCAGCAGAGAAGCGGATGCCATTTTGAAACCTCCGGGGCTGTGCCCCTGAGGCCAGGTCTGCCGGGACAGTCAACAGATGGGCCCATGATGGACATAAATGCTGTTCCTCAGCCCCAGGCCCAGTAAAAACAGCCCCACTTTTCGCAGCCTGGAGGCCCTAAGGCAACTTGGGAGCTGAGAGGCCACACCCCCACTCACATACTATCTAGTCTACAAAGCTGCGGCCGGCCCCCTATCTTCCTCCAACCCTGGGAGCCCCCAGATCACGGCTCCACAGGGAACTCTTCCAGTTCCCAGTTGGGAGCTGGGTGGGGGAAAAGAACCGGGCCCTCTGTCTTTGCAGAAGACCAGCCTGGATGCTCCAAGGTATGCTGGCCCAACCCCAGCCCCATTCCGTGCCCACTGCTCTCTCACAGGGCTTTCAGATCCAACAGGCCCACCCACCCTCAAAGGCCACATCCAGGCCTTTTAGTCCAGAAGAGGAACGGGAAACTCAGCATCCACAGCAGATCTCCTGAGCCTGCCCACAGGGACAGCAATATGTCGGCTGTCTCACCACTTCCACTTCCCCCCACCCCTCTAGCAGCCACCATCTTCCCTGGCCTTGGAAGGGCCTACAACCCCAACTCCTCCACATTCCTCTTTACTTCCCAGACTGTCCCCTAACCAGCCTTCAAAACTGAGAAATACAGGGCCGTGGATTTAGCTCAGTGGTTCCCCCGCCTGCCTCACAAGTGTAAGGACCCGAGTTCGATCCCCAGAACAAAAATAGTAAAATAAAATAAAATAAAAACTGAGAAATACATTCTCAGAGAAGCTTAAGGCCTCACCCCCTCTCCCAGGGCAACCAGTGGAGCTTCAGGGTACCCTAGCCCGGCCCAGGTCCTCTCTAGCTCCTCTTCCCCTCCTCCTAGCCTGGCCCACCTGGTGCAGGAAGGATGATGGGATCTGGGAAAGGCCAGAGTGTGTAGAGAGGACTTAAGGGAGGAGCAGAGAGGGACTGGGGAGTGATGTCCGCAGAGATGTGGTGGTCAGGAGTTGGGGCTCTGAGGAGTTCCAGCTGGTCAGAGCTCAAGAGCAGTTTCTCACTTGAGAGGTCCCTTGGGGTCAGAGCACACAGGTGGAGCACACAGGTTCAGGACTAGGGATAGGGCCCAGAGGAGGAGGGAGCGGACAGGGGGCTAGAGAGAGGCCCAGGCGGTGCTCCTGCCTGAGAGGAGGAGGGGGAGCGCGTGGGGGAAAAGATGGAGCCGGGGAGTATGGACCAAACAGGGTGCTGAGGTCTGGGTAATCTAGGAAAGGATGGAAGGACAGGCAGAGGCTCTGAGGTTCTGTGAAGCTGGCTAGAAAGGGTGGGCGACCAGGCAGGGTCTGGGCAGCTGGTGTTCGGACACCACTGCTTGGGTTTGGGGTCTAGGATGAGTTGAAGGTCTGCGCTAGAATCTGGCCTAAGATCCGAGATCTAGACCAACCCAAATTTTCCACTCTTATTTGAGGGTTCTGGCCAGGCTGCTGGGGGTGGGGGGCTCCAGCCCAGGGGTGGAGTCCAGACTTAGCCTGGAAATTTGAAGCTCTTATCCGGGAGGTCAAAGTCTAAGTCTAGGGACTTGGCCAGGAATCTGGGGTCCCAGATCCGGTCTCGGCCTCACCTAACAGAAGCAACTTCACCTCCCGCGCCGCCTTCTCGCCGTCCTCCCGCAGGTTCTTGTCTATCATCTTGGAGCGCTCGGCCGCCGCCTTGTCCTCGGCGCTCACGGTGCACCCCATCCTGCC